ACTGACCCAAGACACAAAATCTATGACTATGGCAATTGTTTCCAAATCCCATAGGTATTCATCAAGATTCAAACTTGCAAGGTACAACCAAATAGCTATTAGTTATCTCTGTGAGGCTGTAACACACTTCAAGGTCCTCAAATTTGATTGATCTAGCGCAATCAACAGAAAAATATCTCCACTTTCCCTGTCAATGTTTGATGATTTTATACAAAAATAGTATGGTAAATTGATTTTTTTTTTTACTTGAACAGAGAAAGGGAGTTTCATTAAACTAAAACCATAGCCTTTTATTGCTCACCTTAAAATACCAAATTCCTCAGTAGCACTGTGGTTACCCTACCATTTTTTAATTTTTCATCTACTTGATAAAACTACTCATTTGTTAAAACAATGCAAGAGATGAAGCATGGATACATATATTTCAGACAAACTCCTTCAGCTGTAGAGAATGTGAAAAGCTGGATATAATTTAAAATCAATAAATCTGTTTATATTTCAGCTCAGAATGATTTGCAAGCAATACAAAAATCAAAACTGCATTTCTTTTGCAAGCTGCATATTATGAAGTGCAGTGCAACGCAAAAATACAAGGAAAAATATAATCTTTCATCAGTATCTTCCTTAGGCTTCCTGGCATCATCCTGCTTTCCAGGGGACATGTTCTACATTCGACTCTGAATATGTGACAGGAGCAAGTTAGAGTTTAACATGGTCGTTATCAGATGTTTCACACCATATTTTCCCTTACATAGAGGCCTATGTAAACTGATTCCTAACAACAGAATTAGTGAGTTAGCTTCTGTAGGTATCTTAAGTTATTAAAAGAAACCAGAAAGTAAGTTTCAACATAGCTTGAGCAGCACTTAAATATAGAAGCACTTAACAACAAAAATTAGCTAATTATTCCTCTCATCATCTTTTTGCTATCAAGTGATTTTCATAGAGCGACACTGCAGACAATCTGTAATTATGGCATGAGTATTGTCCAGAAATGTTTGTGGTTAAAACTTTATTGCACTAGAAAGTAAGAGATGCAGTTGGGAGGCTATTTCAGAGGGGTTTATCAGAATTGTGATCTTTCAAAAAAAAAAAGTCACATCATTATGAGAACAAACGAGATTCCATAGATATTAAAAAGCCTCACATATTCAGAATATGTACAGACAAGAAAATAAAATAGAAAGCATATTTATACTCCTCAATTTCAAATTATTTGAGCAGTTACAAAGGATAGCAAGACTCCAGTCCAAGAGGGGTGCTTTCATAGCCCATATCTTTCAAAGTCACTATGATCACTACGGTTTTGGTTTCTTGAAGTAGGGAGGTTCAGTCATGCTCTCTGACAGCCAAAATCTGTATCATGACACAAAACGATAGTTTCCGTCAGTCATTGTGCTTCCTCATTTAACATAGTCTTCCAAAGGCTACTTGTACAAATAACACTTATTAGATAACATTTTACTCACATTAATAAACATAAACTCTTAAATGTGCATAAGACTGTACATAGTGAGGACCTTGCCTTATGATAATAACTGGGGTGCTACAAATTTTTATACTGTTTGGACAGGAAATACATGAAGTTAAGATTCTGGTAAATGAGACTTCTAAAAGAGTTACTGGACTGGCATCATCCAACATGATGCATACTTGCTCCTCTCCTAAAGATTATCTTGAAGTAATTCACATCAAGTTAAAGCCATTCAAAAATGACAGCAGCAATACAGTTTTATTGCTTGACCCATAGGGCTGCTGCTCCCAAGTTGTCCAGGCCACCTCACCTCCTGTCTTGGCCAGCTTTGCATGGCCCCTTATGCTAATCCCACACACCGCAACAGTCAGCAGAATGGTTCAGATTTGACTGGAACATTAAAACTGGATTATGATTAAGCTTCGCAGGTTTCTAAACTGCTCGTGGCAGATGGACCAGTTGCAACTGCACTAAAATGCCCAGCGAGTGCTGCCACCCAGCTGTTTGCATGGAAGATGCTTGCTTTCCTGGGGCAGTACAGGAGAAAACGAGATGTCAGACATTGTCAATATACACTTGCCAGTCTCTGGGCAGAGCTGATGATCGTGGATTTAAATTCTTGCAGAAGCTATTTCAAATATCCAGAGCATCACCCAGAACAGCCAACTCAGAAACAGAATTTGCTAGGAAAGACAAGAGAAAATGGATGAATATATATGGTGACTTGGAATTCTTCTGTACCCAGGCAGCAGCACAATTTAAGGGGGACAACCAGTGTTGCCATTCCGTCAGAGCCCTTCCCACCACTCTCTTTTGTTTTATCATATCTACACCCCTGAAAACCAAACCCATTTCAGAACTTTTTAAAATAAAGTACACATTTTACAACTCTAACCCAGACACTTACAGCCTTGTAATTTCATGGGTTCTATTCAGTTTAGCATAAGATTTAGCCTGTGAAAACTAAAACTTACTTCCATCACATTTCTTTGCATCTATGGGCAATTGTTATGCATGACAGAGGTCTAGATACTGCATAAGAATATGCACTGTTGCCATGCTGTTTTATGAGGTCACAGCACACTAAACTGATAAACTGCAAAGCCAGAAGCAAAATAGTTTGTCCCGTCAGGGAGTGGGATTATTGCCCTGTGAAAGCTGCCTAATGATACTATTTTTGCTCTTGTACTTCAAACATTCAAAATTAAACTCTTTTCTCAGTTAAATTCTTTGAACTATTTTCCTTCATTTTTTTCAGTCTTTTACAAATGTTCAGTCAGTAGGCAATTAAGCTTGCAAAAGAGCAACCAAGAAGGCTGGATCTTCCAAAAATTATCTCAGTGTCTGCCTTTACATTATTGTAACCAATATTATGAACTGTGAAACTGAAGTACCCTGGAAAAAAATTCATATACCTTTATTTATAAAATACTCTTTAGTAGGGAGACAAGAATGCTCCTTGTTTCTGCAGAAGAGCTAAAATTTATCTACATTTTATATGATAGTAATCACATATAACTGGATTTGCTTAATGGCATACAATTCTGCTCAGAAAAATCAGATGTACATATTACAGTTAATCAGAGAATTTGGTTCTTATTCTCCAATGAGATTAAAGATACTGTGCTAGAAATTGTGACAGCATTTTCCTGCGTTACAATCTGTATATTTTTTTGCATTTATCCATCTTCTGTATTTTGTCAATAATTAGTGAAATTTTTCAATAATCACTCTAGTTACTGCACAATCAGAATAAACAGTTGGATCGAAAGTCTGCAAACTCTAGTAAACTAGTGAGACCCAAGTTTTCTAAGAGTGTAGCTACATTATTTATTGGCATGGTGCAATGAGGAAAGGAGCAGTGTACAAGCCATACCTCCACACTGCATCTCTGCTGACAGTGAAATTACAGAATGGCTGAGGTTGGAAGGTACCACTGGAGGTCATCATGTCCAAGCCCCCTGCTCAAGCAGGACCACCTAGAACTGCTGATCCAGGAACATGTCCAGGTGCCTTTTGAATATCTCCAGGCAGGGAGACTCCACAGACTTCCTGGGAAACCTGTGACAGTGCTCAGTCACCCCCACAGTGAAAAAGTGTTTCCTGATGTTCAGAGGGAACCTCCAGTATTTCAGCCTGTGCCTGTGGCCTCTTCTCCTGTCACTGGGCACCTCTGAAAAGAGCCTGGCTCCCTCTTGTTTACACCCTCCCTTCAGGTGTTCATACACATTCACAAGGTCCACCCTCGCCAGCCCCCCACCAAGCCTTCTCTTCTCCAGGTTGAACTGTCCCAGCTCCCCCAGCCTTTCCTCATAAGAGAGATGCTTCCGTCCATCTTTGTGGCCCTTTGCTGGATGCTCTCCAGTATGTCCATGTCTCTCTTGTACTTGAGGCCCCAGAACTGGACAGAGTAGTTCAAGTTGTGGTCTCACCAGTGCTGAGTAGAGGGGAAGGATCACCTCCCTCAGCCTGCTGGCACTACTTAGCCTAATGCAGCCCAGGATACCATTACCATTCTTTGCTGTAAGGGCACATTTTTGGCTCACGGCCAACTTGGTGTGCATCAGTACACCCAGGTCCTTCTCGGCAAAGCTGCTTTCAAGCTGTGTTGCCCCCAGCATGCATATATATATATATATATATATATTGGTGTATGGTGCTAAATTGTTAGTCCTAGCACCATACTGGTGTACAAATTGCTGATCCTAGGCAAGTACCACAATGGCCTCAGCAGCACAGTGATGGAGGGCCTTCTGTCCACCCTGAATGTTAGATGCTACGGATGTACCATAAAGTACAACTTCAGTCTTTGTTCCAGCAGGAGGGAAACCACTGAAAGTACAGGAGTGAAAGTCAAGGGCATAATACAAGCCTCCAGATAAAATGCAAGGCAAATGCATAACAGAAAGAAGCTCTTCAGCACACTAAATCACTAATGTAGATGCACTGCTAGCATCACAGCTACTACAGAAGTTTATTCTTGAGTTTGACCTGACAGTGACACCAGCACTTTCAGTTGCCTCTGTTCATCAGGTAAGTGATTCAGTGCATCAAAATTATGGCACAAAACAGGAGTTTAGGGATCCAGATATCTTAAAAAATGAGCTCTTTTTCCATTCTCTCCTTTTCCTGTCTAGTAGTTCAAAAAAAAGAAGTTGAAGGTGTGATTGAGTTTGCACTACTGTTTTGTTTCCAGCTGAGACAGTCTAATGACAGCAGTTCATTTCCTAATGCTGAACAATAAGAGAAAAAGGGTTTGACTAAGAAATCTTAGCATAAAGACTAAATATGTACAATGACAATTGGAATGGGATCTTCCATTAGTCTTAGACTGCTGTAAATTCAGAGAATTCAGAGCAGACCAGAGCAAAAGTAACACTTGAAACTGGTATAAAGTGATTATCCTTTGCCATTCAGTCATCATTTCTTCTTTCATAAGTTGTACATAAACAACATGGGTTTGTGTTCTATCTTACATTTGAAAGTCCTCTGTACATACACCTGCTTTTGACATGTGTCATCTCAGTCAGCTGAGATGATGATTGACAGGAACAGAGATGAAAATTCTCCTTTGCACACAGAAATAGTACTGTGGTGGAATGTCAATCATTTTAGAAAAGTTGTATCTGCAAAAGAAATAAAGAAACAAAAAGAAAGAAAATTTAAAGATCTGAGTTATGTTCTGCTTTCTCCAGAAAGCAATTCCATTATATCCCTGCCTTTTTCATCAAGAACAAAGAAACAAAAGAAATTTCTGAAATTACAAGGAAATCATAATGCTTTGCATAGTTCTGAAAATACTGGAGCTGTACAGTGGTTCAATTATGCAGTAACAGGTAATTATAATTAGTAAACTAGTTCATGATTGTGCAGAATTTCAGACATTTTCACTTTAACAACAAATTACAAAAAAGGAAACTAGTTTTCAAAACCTAATTTAAAAAAATCATTCCCTAATTTTAAAAGAACTCTTATCCTAGAAATCTAAGCGAAGGCACAAGTTGTCTGGCCATCATGAGATATTGCAGAACTCACAGCAGTTCCAATAGAAAAAGAATGTCTGAGTCCACTGCCTTCCCATTAGTATGTTATAGACATCATCAGCATCATCCCATTACAACCTCATTAATAATTTCCAACCCTGACATATGCATTTGCAGACATATTTGCAAGCAACTCCACAGTCACTTCCATATTCCCCTCTGCATTTTCAGTCACAATCTAAACTAGTCAAGATCTAGACAAGAACTTCCCCTTCACTCTCCTATAACTCTCCCCTGTCCCACCCCACTCCCTCAAGTCTCTTTCCCATGAAATGTATACATTGCTCTCTCTTCTGACTAGCTCTTGAATACAAGAAAAACATACACAAGTTAGCCTAAGACTTGATGAGGACTCCCTAGATACCAGAGAAATACAAAGAAAAATAGGGTTTTATGCCTTTGTAATGCAGGATTTAGACAGCATTCCTGAAGTCTAACAGAAACTCTTATCAGGAAGATTTTAATGGGTTTGCTCATATATTCCTAGCACAAGTCTTAACAATGTTCTACACTAATTTGTTCACTTAGTATTCCTCTCACCACTTACCTGAAACAGCTCATTATTTTGTTCCTAAATAATGACCTAATCAACACACTTTCTTAAGTAAAGCTTTACTTGGTAGCATAAAGGCAAGGCTTCCTTCCTAACATGTCACCCTAAAATACCACATACTAATCTGCATTCCTCTAAGCTGTTTGGCTATAGTTTTCACACAGTAAAGTCAGAATACATCTGGATTTTTATCATAGTGCATTAATATAATCTCAGACTATCTTATTTTCTTCCAACAATCTCAGAGGAAGATAAATCAGCCCCTTTAAGGTTCAAGGAGACCTGGGCTTGCTTTCCTTCCTAATTAGTTCCCTGATGAGGACAGGTACTTTAAGCTCTAACAAAAAGGGGTTTGGCCAAAATTTTGTCTGAAGTCAAATGGAAAACTTGTCCATTTATCTTATGCTTTGGTAAAAAATATGTATTAAATGTATTTCTATTCACATTCAAGTTTTACTCAACAAACTCTCAAAGTGAATAATGAAATTGCATATCTGCATTTTATTAAAATTAAAGTTGTAACAGCTAATTTTAAGGACTCTGTTAAGGATTCCTTTCATTTTAGGAACCTGCAAAGCAGCAGAGAGTAATCATACTGAGCAAAGTTCATTCATCTATTATGAAAATCTCATTTTGTAAGGACTCTATAAAAACCAACTTTATGAAGTTTCCAGGTTGAAAATACCTAAGCACAAAGTAATTCTCCTTTAAACTGACCCTCAGGTTTCACATATTATAGCCACTTTTCATTTCACTCTCATGAAATTTTTGTGAAAAAGGATTTTTTGCTGTGATATTAAATGCAAGAGAAAGCAGAAAATGCATTCTGAAAAGATTACTTCATTCACCATGGCTTTCAGGCTGCATGCACCTGTTTCCAAATTACTGTATGCTGCATGTGCAAAATACAAGGTAATTGCAAGAATAAGGTATAGCTTCCAGAAAAGAAACTGGATATGATAATCTGAAAAAATCAATACTGACATTTTTTAAGTTGCCAAAAAGTGGTGTGAAATAACAAAATTATAAGCGATAATGGCTACAAATACTTTTTCTTAAAGCCTGAACAATCTAATGAATCTAAATTATATCATGGTTAGTCTTGTCAGAAAGTGTTAGAGCAGTGTTTCAAAAAAAAAAAAAAAATTGTTTTAAAAATAATTGTCATCTGACAATTACTGTCTCTTTAACCTGTTTATGATTCTAAGTTTCTTAGAGGTAGATGCTGTAAAAACATTAGCAATATGGTTCCTGACCTAAACAGCTCAAGATCAAATGCAATAGGGAGACCTGTTTCCTTTTGTTCTTATAGAAAAAGTGCCAGGAAAGCTAGATCAACTGTCCTAAATCAAAACTCCTTGAGGAAAACTGCAAGTACGCTTGGGTGAAGACACAGATAGCCAGACACTTCTACATTTTGAATCAATGGAAAATAAGTGGTTATATATGGACCTTATTTTTAGCATGATCTGTAGCCTTATCAGTATTGCTGAACCAAGTCACAAAAAAACTACTTTGCTATGCAGTGCTAGTGTAGACTAAGATGATTATAAGATTTACTTGACAACAACTTCTTGATCTACACCACTGTCCTCTAAAAATTCTTCTCCCTGAGAAAGACAATATCAAACTCAATTTATGTGTATGGCCCAATCTTATTTCTACTACAGTCAACAGGAATTTTACCTATGCTGAGCAATCATATTTAAATAGAGATATTTGAGGACTATGGTATCATTCTATGCAAATATGGGTGGTGCAACATGCAACAGATGTGAACTGAGGTAAATTAATATAGATGGCAGTCCTCATGTTCCTCCACTGTGATAACATACTGCCAGCTATGAGAAAAAAGACACTTGCTTTTTGCAATAGATTCATTCAGAAGTTCTACACCACTTATAAGCATTAGTATTCACTGCAGACCAGGCAAAAACAATACTTTAACTAGCTCTGACAGATTTAATATTTTAGACTGATGCTGTCACACACAGTAACTGAGTATCCGAGTACAACCAATACCTCATGAATTTGACCTATTTCTGATTAAAGAAAAATCTTCCACTGAATTTCTCCTGCATAGACTGATAACAATTTTAACTGCTCTCCTGCTTTTTTTTTTTTTTTTAAAAATTTTGCTACATTCATGCATTTAGTTTAAGAACATTCAAAGATAAAATTACAAAACTAGAGTTAGTTACTGGAAACCTGCAGAAGGCAGCAAAATGAAGAAACCAGGATAACGAGAAAAAAACAACATATTTTTTTCTAAACCCCAAGTGGTATTTTAAGACCTTTTCCCCATAATAACAAACAAAGGTGGGAATATTGCCTGTGATTTAAGTTACCTGATGTTTCTCATTGAAACACCCCAATTTCGGAATTCAATATCTGAGAGTATAGTGTCAACTTAGACTGAAATTTCTATCAAGCATCTGAGATCATTTTTCAACCAAATTAGTTTTCTTTAAAGAATGAGGCTATGAGAAAGTATGATTCTTCAGGACAAGTTAAAAAAAACCCTGCTGATCACTGTATGACTGATACTTCTACCCTTTGCAGTAGAGACGCAGATTCTAATAAGGATGTCGTTTGAGAAGGATGTCTTTGTGTCACAGGCTTCATAAAGTCTTTCAGGAAAGTAACATAAGGTTAACAGTCTGCTGAACTATTCATAGCTGTCATGCTCAGGCCTGGACTTAAGCAGCACTTTGACTTCTCTTATACTTTTTAACTTCTATGGCCTATCATATACCCAGAAAACATCCAAAATGAAAGATGTCTTTCCTAAAGACCCTCTGTCCACAGCCCCAGCAAGCTATGTCAGAAAAAGAGCACTGTGAAACACAGTCATCATCAGGAGAGAGACAAGCTAGGACCGTAAAGAGAAAGGAAGCAGGACTGATGCCTGGTAGATGCAGTTTATGGAAGCTGAAATGGGTACGATATATTACAGAAGTAGAAGACAGACAGAAAGGAAAACAGGGATGCATCTGTCCCATTTCAAGACTGGAAGTTAACAGTGAAAAGAGACCAACATAAGAAAGTGGAAACTGGTAATGCAACATAGAAAAAAACAGAGCAAATAGGGAATGGTTAGGCCAGGAACTAAGACTACACAAAGTATTTCATATGATACTGGATGTAAGAAATCTGTGGAGTCTAGACTGGAAGAGAAAGACAGGACTAAACAGATCAAAGTAATGTACTTCTGTCCCAGTGCAGTACATGGCCTGCAAGAAGGTGTCCCTCTCGAGAAATGTCATCAAAACCTATGGTAACATCAAGTACATTATGTACATGAATTTACCAAGCACAAATCTTGCATGACCCACATTATAGTATCTCAATAACTGATTTGGTAGAAGTGTAGTGGATGTTATTTGGCTTGATATTAGCAAGACCTTTGACCTACTCTCCCACAGGAATTTTATAGCAAACTGGTGGAATATAGATTGGATAAGTAGGGTCCAGTGGGTGAAAAAGTGGCTGCACTGACAGGCTCAAAGTGTTGTCATCAGCAGTAAAAGGGATTCAATCACAGAATGGCTGAGGTTGAAGGTACCTCTGGAGGTCATCTTGTCCAAGCCCTCTGCTCAAGCAGGACCACCTAGAACTGCTGGTCCAGGAACATCCAGGTGCCTTTTGAATATCTCCAGGCAGGGAGACTCCACAGACTTCCTGGGAAACCTGTGACAGTGCAGCGGTGCCGCACAAGATCTAGACTACAAAACCTTAGACCATCGTTATTCCCGCAAATAACATTTATTTGTGGGGACATTTTCCCATTTTTTTCTGTCCAGGCTTCATGATTATGATGGTGTTATCTTTTCCTACATTACTTCAGCTGGTTCAGGGGGGCCACTCAGCCCTTGGACCCATACTTTTGCCCCATTACTAAAGTTGGTGGATTCAAATCCTTTGTCTCCACGAACAGTAGTGACTTGGGGTGGGTCCCCATTCTTCACCACTGTTTTCAAAATTGGTAATATTAATAGCTGTGCTACTCTATCATTGGGTTGAATAACTAAATCTTGTTTGGTATTATTCAGCAGGATTACTTTGATCTCTCCCTGGTAGTCTGCATCAATCACTCCTCCTGTTACATGAAAGCCTTTCAGGGCTAGGTTTGAGCAAGCAGTTAAGCCGATGTGTCTTGGGGGAATTTGGATTCCTCTCCCAGTGTTAATAACCCTTGTCTGGCCTCGATTTATCATTACCAGTTCTGATGCATAAAGATCTAGCCCAGCAGCCTCTGGAGTGGCCTGGTAGGGGGCCATTGCACCTGGAACCATTTCCCAGTAGGTTAAAGTTTCAGTTACCATTAGAGGCTTTATTTGCAGATTGGGCATAGTCATACGCATCAAGGGCGTCTCCATCTCCCCGATGGGTCTATTGTTGAGGGTGTGGAGCACATCCGTGAGGTTAGATCTCCATCAGGATAGATTTCCCAGTTTTTTTAACTGCTCCTTTAAAAGCCCATTCATTCATTCAATTAATCCTTCAGCCTGTGGAGAGTATGGGATATGGAAAAACCATTGGATGTTATGCTGCTTGCATATTGCTGTACAAATTTATTTCGGAAATGGGACCCATTATCAGTTTGTATTTGTAAGGGGATGCCATAGTATAGGATCATTATATCTATGATAGAGGTAGTACTATGGTGCATGGCTTTTCTGCAGGGATAAGTAATCAAGTATCCTGAATATGTGTCAACTGCAGTGCAGATGTATTTGCACCCTCAGTCCTGGGGTAAAGGGCCGATATAGTCCATCTGACAGATTTGTCCCGTCAATTTCCCTCTTCCCAATTCTTCTTTTATGATATTTGGTACCGGGCACTTATGAGTATGCTGGCACACAGGGCATTGGGCAATTGTTTTGATCATATCCAGTGACGTAACTATGCCACGCTCTTGGGCCCACTTGTAAGTGGCCTTTTCCCCAAGATGCCCACATTTCTGGTGTGCCCATTTTGCCAAGCCTTCATAGTCTCCTTCCTGAGGGAACTCCAGTCCGGCTTGGGATATCTGCTGGGTCATCAGTGACAGAATTGTAAAGACACTCAAGTGAATTTATATTACTGTGAGCATCTACATGGAATGCTGTCACCTTGGTTCTTTAAACCAATTCCCAAATATGTTTCCAGATTGCCTTTCCTCAGACTATTTTAGAATAAATTTTCCAACCTTTGGCTACCCCTGTTGGCAGCCAAGTAGCCAATCCATTTGCCACTGACCAAGAATTGGTGTATAGGTGACATTTCCCTAAATTCTCTTGTTTTAAAGCCATATATGCTGCATATAACTCAGCATATTGGCTACTTTCCCCTTCTCCTGTGGTCTCCAGAAGTTTCCCTGAATGAGGAGGAAAAGCCACTGCCTTCCAAAACCTTTTCCCTCCTATATATATTTAACCAACCCATCTGTAAACCATGCATGTTCCCTTTCAAGAGGTAGCAGCTGATTCAGGGTCTTCCCCCATCGCACAGGGGATTCCTGTTCAGCTATAGGATCAGGCTTTATCTCTTGATCCTGCATGGGGGCAGCCACTACTTGCTCATGGAGGGCAGCAACACCACCAGGTCCCACCTTTGCTCTGTCCTGGATGTACCATTTCCATTTTATAATGCTTGACTCTTGAGCATGCCCTATTCGGTGAGTCTGCAGGGAGCTTTTAACCAACTGCATAATAGGGATTTCAGGGCACAGGGCCACCTCATAGCCTATCGTGAGCTGCTCGGTTTCTATCAAGGCCCAATAACAGGCTAACAGTTGTTTCTCAAAGGGCGTGTAATTATGCCCTGCCTACGGTAACTTTCTTACCCAAAAATCTTAAGGGGACTCTTCTCTTCCCTTGTTTCTGCCAGAGGCTCCAATTAGCATATGACCCATTTACAGATACATTTAATTCTACTTCTCCATCTTGTGTGGGCCATGTCCAAAGCCCTTTCAGTAGCCTTTTTTGCCAATTCAAAGGCAGCCTGCTGCTCATTTACCCCTTCAGTTTCATATTTTTTGCGAGTTACCTTGTATAATGGGGTCAGAATCTGTCCTAGATGTGGAATATGTTGTCTCCATAAACCAAACAGTTCAATAAATCTCTGCACCCCCTTCTTATTCTGTGGTATATCAAAGTCAAGAACCTTTTGCCCAGCTTTAGGTAGTATTTCTTGATGACCACAGTTCCAATGTATTCCTGGGAATTTAACTGTCTGAGATGGTCCTTGGATATTAGTAGGATTAATCTCCCAACCTTTCTGCCTCACATCTATTTAGTAGCACTTCAAGCATTTGTTGTGATTCACCCTCATTGGTCCCCTGAATCAGGACGTCATCAATATAGTGGATCATTTGCATATGAGAAGGGAGCTGTACCTCATCCAGGTGCTCAGCCACTATTCTATGGCAAATAGTTGGACTACGCACCCATCCTTGAGGCAACCTGGTAAAGGTGTACTGCCATCTTTGCCATATAAATGCAAATTGATCCCAATGCTCTTCTGCAATCGGAAACGTAAAATATGCATTGGCCAGGTCAATGACAGCATACCATGTGCCAGGATGCCTCTGAACTCTTTCTATTAAAGTGATCATATCAGGTACAGCTATCGCAAGAGGTGGGGTGCTCTTGTATAGTTCTCTATAATCCACAGTCATTCTCCAGGATCCATCAGCCTTTTTGACTGGCCAGATTGGACTATTCCACATTGTGGCAGTCAGTTTTAAAACCCCTGCAGCCAATAAATCTTTGATTGTTTGGGAAATTTCTTCATGACCGCCTGGAATCCTGTACTGTTTCATGGTTACTACCTTGGTCGCAGTTGGGATCTGAACCAGAGCCATTTTTATCTTCCCTACTAAAACTGATCGGTTAGTGATATAACTCTTTACCCCAGATTGATAATGACCATTAAGAAGATTCAAAGTAAGTCCCTTTAGAATATCTATTCCAATTATACACTCTGGGATCGGAACAATCATGACTGTATACTGTCATTTCGGAAGATTTCCAATTTTCATATCAATTTGGGTTTGTACTGCTTCAATTTGTTTTCCACCCAGCCCTATAATAATCACAGATTGACCTTTAAATTTCTTCAGATTTCCATAAATCAAGGAGGCCTCCACTCCGGTATCTACTAGAGCCTTCACTATTTGAGAGGACCGTTTTTTCCAGAATATTCGTAGCTCCACATGGGGTCATTGGTCCTCCCGCACCCAATGTACTGGAGCTTGGCGAATATTTCAATATGGATTACAGTACCTACTGTCTCTTGAGGGGTACTGTGGTTCTTCCCCAGAAGAACTGAACTGCTCCGAGATGGCCCACCATGAGCAAAGGTGGGATCCCGTTGAGGATCCAGAGGGGGTACTGTAGGCTGAACAGTTCCTGACCAGTGAGCTTGATAATTCTGCACTTTTCTATGGGGTTTCTGTAACCTTCTCTGTTTGTACCACCTCCATAATTCACTAACTCACCATCAATTTTAGTGATAAGTACACCATGTTTCAATAAAGTTTTAAACAATTGTCCTCAAGACAACCAACATCCGGTATTTTTACCACGTCAGGTGTCTCAGTTCTGTGTATACTCCCAGGGACCCCGTTGACATCAGAATTCTTGATAGCCCTGACGCTCCCAGGGAGTCCATTCTCCAAGGTCACCTAGCTGATGCATTTTCTCGAGTACATCTCTAATGGGATTTCCTGTTTCACTCAGCAAGAGAGTTCCAAGAACATTCTTATAAGCTGGTGGAGCAGTTCTAATAAGCACAGACAATCAAAGTTGCATCAACACATCAACATGGCCTACGTGAATGGCCAGTTTCATTCCTTCTTCCTTCAATCACTGCATACCATCCCACAGAGCATACCATGGCTGGTCCGAACCTGGCCAGGAATTCTCTAGGGGGTATTTTGCTTCGCATCTCACAGTGGCTAAAGCCAAAAGATTAGTACTGTCATCATTAGTCCAAAACGCTTCCTGCATCAGAGGGTCTGAACTCAGAGTTACAAACTTTCTGCAGTCAAAATTATCCAGGCTAACCCCTGATGCTCCCTGATCATATAAACATACCATCCAAGCAAACAGGGACTCTCCACGTCTCTGACTGAACTGTGCAAGAATATCAGTGATTTCTTGCTGTGTGAAATCTTCCATTGTAGGTCTATTTACTGGTGGTTCACCCTCAGAAAATTCCACCTTCATCCTGATGTCTGGTCTCACATCTTCAGAGTCATCTGAGGCACCATCCCCATCAGACTCTGCAGGGTACCAGATATCATCATCCGAGTCATCAGGGTTACGGTGTACATCCACCTGTATAACCTCTGAGTGGACCTTCTTATGACTACATTGTCCCCATCTCTTCCCACACTTACACTGGGCAACTTGTACTGTATCCTTCTCGGTTACAGTTTGAGAAGTGTCTAGTTTATCAGTAAGGAGCTTGTTTACAGATTCTAATGTCATAATCTGAGCTCACATATGGAAACATTCAGCTAATAAGTGATCTTTTTGCTGGTGCTGTTTCTCATATGCTGTTAACAGGATCCATCTCCATCTCCCAATACAGCATCCTGTGCCTTACTGGAGAATTTTTGAATATTTTCTAATACATCCTGCATTTCAGCCTCCACCAACCACTTCTCCCACTGTTCACATGGTCCCCCAAATTTAATCCATTTGAGGGCTAGTGAACTATACACAGGATCTTCCCAACCGGGAACTTCAGATGGGGCCATCCTTGTCACCAATTTTTTTTTGCCAGTTATTAATCCTAGATAAAGGATACAGCCAGCATAAAGATGAACTAATAACCAAATTGTATTTGATACACAAGGGTCAGTACATGGGTGAGCACTGGGGGTACAAACAAGTCAATCAGATCATACATAATTGACATCAATCCCACTGACCCCAACAACAACACTGCACAACCAACAATAGGTGGAATAAATGGTGAAATGCAGTCTCCCATAGAAGGAACAGGAGACAACCAAGTCAACCAGCCAAACACATAAGAACCAAGGAAGCCACACACTGAATCTCTACACAGCCCACATTTACAAAGACCAGAACTGACCTGACTAGAGCCCAGTCCCAGGGAGGCAGGAGGTCCTTCCCCAGCAGGGAACTCTACAAAGTGCATCCACATCACAGACAGACACTGCCCCTGCCTGTAAGGGGTCCCAGCTTTTATCCCTCAGTGGGACACCTGACCTTTGCTTACTTAATGCAGACACCTGGGGCTCATTTACCCAATGGCTCTGTCTGCAAAGCCGGCCGCTCCCTGGAGGGAAGCCTAAAGGCAAACTCACCCCCCTTTGTGAAGGGCTGTGGGAATCACTCGTATGTCAACCTTAATTTGGGGCTTGGGGTTGAAATCCCAGCATTTCAGACCCCCAGGTCCTTCTCGGCAAAGCTGCTTTCCAGTTTTTTCCACAATTCTGAGGTCAATAGTATAAATAGTAGTGTAATTATAAATAATAATAAATTTACACCCAATAATACTATTTCTATAGATGCCAATAATACAAATCATTCACTTTGAATTATACTCTCACATACAATAGTGAGGAAAGTAGAGATTACACAGTCAGAACAGAGTTTGACCAAGAGACGTCCAACAGGTTTTTCCCTTTTAAGATTGTTAAAAACAGGATTATAGTGACCATGTAAAACTCTAAGACTCAAATATTTCAATTCTGATATATTGCTAGTCTGCATCATTGTCTTATTCTCCTTCAACAGGACAAATTGCCTCACCAAGGCCACATCTTGGCCACAGCCATGAACATTTGTGGTGGATTTTCTTTCCAGTGCATAAAAAAAAAAAAAAAGCAGTGAACTGGGTCTCATGACAAGAGAGGATGTCCCAGCATTGCAATCTGCATGGGGGCACAATAGTCAACATGGAAGGCAGTGAGAATTTGGCCTTGCCTTCTCTCTGTTGATTTCATTGGAAGGCAGGTCTGGCAGCTCAGGGGGAGTAAGCAATAAGGATTACCCATCGTTCTCTTGACAGCAGAAATCAGTAATCTGTCTGCAGCAACACAGCAAAAAGAACATGGTCCTGCAACTTAAGCAAGCAGGAAGATTTGGCATCTTTTAAATACTTAAGGATTAGGAACATTTCCAAGTGAAGTGGTGCTACAGTGTGTTTTAGTACTATTGCAAGTTCAATAGTGCCTTTGGAAGTTCAAAACTGAACTCCTATTATGAGCTACATAGTATGAAATATCCCTTCTGCTGGATAAAAATCTTAGCAAGGGAAAGACAAGTCCATGGGAAACAGCAAAAAAATGCATTTTAGGGCTGTCTGTTTGATAAGTCTTAAATGAGCCAGATTTTCAGATACATTGGGGTTCTGAAACATAACCACATTGCTATAGTGCTGCTAAAAAAGAAGAAGAGAGATAATTGAGGTTACTAGTTTGTTTTCACCTTGGCTACAGTTTCTAGATCCATAAACTTAAATCTAAAGTAAAAAGCCAAGCTTATCTATTTGAGTGTGTGGAGCAAAGGGAAGTAGATGAGAGCAGATACCAAATCATGACTCATCCATGGATAAAGCTGTTTCTACTCTGATTTGTACTATATCCAAGCTTGTATTTAATCTTGACCCTAATTACTGGGTGATAGTGATTTTTTTCAGGCACTTCCAAGAAGCTCTTTAAACAACTGCCAGAATTAAATATTTGTGGTTGTTTATTCTCTCCATAAATAACAGCACATAAAAATTTTATGCTCTCACTCTCTGCTTCTGAGAAAGTTATATGCCCCTTCCCTTCTCTTTCCCCTTTCTATATATAAGAAAATAGTTTTTCTGACACAGCTCCCAAAATTTGGAGCTGATGATAAATTTTAAACACAAGAAGCTACAGATTTCCCTTGTGTTGGCATTAAAAATATACGAAAGAATTTACAAGACAGCTGTTAGTATATTTGATTTCTTTGTAACTAAGGAAAGAAAAAGTATGTTTTGTTCTGATAAATCAATTCAACTACACAGATCAATGCAATTTAATGCTCCAACTAGCCAGAGCAATCACAGTTATTATAAATATTATTTGTGCAGTAGACCAGACTTCGCATGTACAATTTGCCAGAGGCTAGTTCCGTTTTCCACCTACTTAAAGGGAAGAATAGCTTATAGATAGTTGCAAATGCCTGCTAAGACAGAGTGTATTTTATAGGAGTATATTCTGTAGAAATATTTCAGATGACAGGGTGGTAAGGAACAGCATGTCTTTGCACAGAAAACATTTCTCCAGATTTTTACTAATAGAAGTCTGACTCCATCACTCTAAGGTTGCTATCAGAGGCACCCAAAACCCAGTACTTCTACAGGCAAGAGGACTTTGTTTCAAACTTCAAATCAAAAGCACAAGTTCATTCATGGATGATATAAACAGAATTTGAAATCTATCCGCGTCTTCCAGAAATTTTGTGTTATAATGCTGTTAATACAGGCCTTTCTTTCCAAATATTACTTTTTCTCCTTGCGAGTAATTAATAAGCCATGCAAACTTGATAGAAAAATACCACAGAAATGTGTATAAATATGACACGTATAATAATGGTCTCATGATGTCTCACTGAGTCAACAAATAGGTGATGTACTTGGTCTTTTAAAGTGACTGGAAGGTGCTGACAAGGGATTATGTATCACAGATATAATTAATTACAGAATAGAATTAAATAAATAATATGTTAAACAAGAGAAAACACGGGGTATAGTACTCTGGATATTACATACACCAAAAAAAAGAAAAAATCTGCTTTGACCTTTAAATACTGACTAACTGCTTTGCAGGCTCTAAAACTTGTAATGTTTACAGTTTTCATAATTAAAATCGCGCTGTTTCCTGAAGCACTCTTCAGGGTGCTGAGGCCATGAGAATGACCACAAGTACATTTACACAGGGAGAGCACGTAAAAAGATTGCAGAATTTCAATCATGAACACGTTTTCAAAG